TCGGGATTGAAGTGTCACAGACAGGGCTGCGATTGGCACAGGATAGAGCAGGGTTTAGGGCTGTTGTACATAGGGTAGCTATGAGTCGCAAGCAACTCGATGGCACATAACAACAACAACAACAACAATCCCATGACATAAATACATTATCAAATACAACCAAAGAGGTACAATCAGAAGAGAATAAAAGAGACTAATGGGACCTTCTAAAAATTAAATCCTTAGTACATAAAAAAAATTCTCCAAGAGTAAAAAGAAAATTTACAGGTTGGGGAAAAATATGTGACAGTGACTTATCTGACAAAGGGCTTTTATCTAAAATTATAGAAACCCCCAGGAAACTCACTTTACAGTGTAGACAAAGATAAGAAAAGACTCTTCACCAAAGAAGACATTCATAGGACCAACTAATTATATTAAGAAATGTTCCAGATTATTCGCTATTAGAGAGATGCAAGTCAAAATAACAATGAGATACCACCTCATTGCAGCAGCAATAGCCAGATTCAGTAAGTTCATGAACAACAAATGCTGGCGAGGGTGCAGAGTGATTAGAATTCTCATACATTGCGGGTGGGAATGTTAAATGGTACAAGCATTGTAGAAAGCAATCTGGCATTTCCTTAAAAAGTTGAAAATGTGCACACCCGTGTTTATTGCAGCTTTGTTCACAACAAGGAGTTGGAAACAACGTAAATGCCCATCAACAGACAAAATGGATAGAGAAGCTGTGGTATATTCACACAATGGAATACTACGCTGCATTGAAAAACAAGGAACTCATGCAATATTATTCAAAATGGGTGACCCTGGAGGACATTATACTGTGTGAACTATCTCAGTCACAAAAGGACAAATACTGCATGGTGCCACTGTTGTAAAACAAGACTGACCTTGGGGTTGGGGGGAGACTGAGAAGGATGGGTTTGATAGTGTATAGTGATGGAGAAAACTGTTTAAAAGGGATATGTGATTAGGTATTTTTGTCATGACAGGAGTCCAGAGCAAAGGCTGCATAGTGGAATGGACCTGGGGGCAGGGATTGTAAAACAATGAAAGAATTTTTCTTTTACTTTTCCAAGAGGGTAGCATACTAGGGAGGAGGGTTGGGAGGGGAGAAAAGTGCAACAATGAATGAATGGAAATCCAAAGTCTCTGTGAAGTTTCATTGAAATGATTTATAAATTAAAATATATATATATTTGACTCAAAAAAAAAGTTGAAAATTGAAATACCATTTGATCCACCTATTTCACTACAAGGTGGGATCCTAAAGCAATAAGAGCTGAGATGTGAACAGATTTATGAACACCCGTGTTTATTGCAGCGTTTTTTATCAAAACTAGATTTTGAAGTAATCCTTCATTAGTGAGGGAATGGCTAGAAAAAACTGGTACATTCATATAATAGTGCACTATACAACATTGACAAACAGTGACAATTTTGTGAAATATTATATAACATAGATAAGACTAAGGGAAATGAGTCAGTCCCCAAAGGACAAATATTGCATAAGACTAGTATTATAAAAAGCTAGAGAAAAATTTGCATAAAGAGAGAATCATACCGGAATGGTTATCAGGGAGGGGGACCAGGAAAGTAGAAAATTAATTACTAAATAAATGGTTACCAGGAAAGTAGAAAATTAATTGTTGTTGTTGTGTGCCTTCGAGTCACTTGCGACTCACAGCAGCCCTATCTATGTACAACAGCTCTAAACTCTGCTCTGTCCTTTGCCAATCTCATTGTCTCCGACACACTCATCCTGATTGCCCCAGTCACTGAATCAATCCACCTCCCAGAGGGCCTTCCCCTCTTGCGCCTGCCTTCCACCCTCCCAAGCATGATGTCCCTCTCCACGGACTGGTCTCTCCTTACAACATGACTAAAGTATGTCAGATGAAGCCTCAGAATCCTTGCCTCCAAGGAGCAGCCCAGTTTAACCCTCTCCAGGATGAATCTGTTTCCTTAGCAGTCCATGGTACCCTCAACACTCTTCTCCAACACCAAAGCTCAAAAGCATCATTTCTCCTTCTATCCTCCCTGGTCATTGTCCAGCTCTCTGATGCATAGCAAGTGATTGCAAAGACCATGGCCTGTACCAGATGCACCTTAGTCTCCAGAGACACACTGTTGCTCTTCAGTACTTTAGAGAGATCCTTAACAGCAGACCTTCCCATCGCAATATGTCTTTTAACTTTCTGGCTGCTGGTGCCAAGAGTGTTGATTTTAATACTTATAAAGATGGGTAAAAGGAAAGAATATGGAATGAATGAATGAATGATCAGACTCTGTAGGTATTATAACTAATATTAAGGAACAAAATGCGCATGATTGATTTAAAAAAAAATAAACAACCAACCCAAACTAACACACTTTGTTAACTTCCCTTCAAATCACATTTTCAAAAATGCCAAAAAAAAGCTGTGATGACTTAGATATTTGTATCAAGTCATTGTGAATGATATCTAAGTCCATCTGCATTTACATCTTTCATTAACACACACGCCATTGCCATCAATGATGAAATTTTTCAGTGCTGAATAACGTTTAATGATATTCTAGACAAAATAATATTCATCTTTCCTTGATTTACAAAGTTGACTGCATTACTAGACAATTGAATAAATTTTGTATTTATACATAAAGTAGAATTGGATTCTAGTGTCAGGCAACTATAAATAGTTTTTCTAAAAAAGTCTGGTTGAGTGCCAGGATATATCCTAGGAAGGTTTTTAGGACTTTGTACTGTCATCCTATGCTATCCTATCCTATTAAAGATCATCTAATGTTATTGCTCCTTCCAAGTATTACAAGCTCATTGCTGATGAGACATTCATAGCTCCCTAAATATTAGCCCATCATTGTGACAACTAAAAATTACCCACAAATTGCCAAATGGTTCCTAGAAGTAGTATTGTGACAGTAGAAAATTTGTTAGGTGCTGTTGAGTCGAACAGGACTCATAGCAACTCTATGAACAACAGATCTCAACACTGTCCTATCCTGTGCCCTCAAGCATCATCTCAGACACACTTGAACCCACTGTGTCAATCCATCTCATTGAGGGTCTTTCTTTCTTTCATTGACCTTTTACCATTCCAAGCATAATATCCTTTTCTAAGAAATAGCCTCTTTTAGCAACATGCCCAAAGTATATAAGATGACGCTTTGCCTTCTTTTCCTCCAAGGAGCATGCTGGCTTCATTTTTTTCCAAGACAATATGTTTTTTGACAGTCCATGAGATAATTCAGTACTCTTCTCCAACACTACAACTCAAATACATCACTTCTTCTGTCATCCTTATTCATTGTCCAGTTCTCACTAGCATAGCAATTGATTGAAAAGATCATGGCCTGAATCAGGCACACCTTAGTCTTCATGCTGACATCAGTGTTCTTTCAGTAATTTAGAGGTCCCTGATACCAGATTTGCCCAATGCTATGCATCTCCTGATTGTCTAACTGCTAGTGTTAAGGGTGTTGATTGTGGGTCCAAGTGACATGGAATTGTTGACAATTTCAGTCTTTTCTCCATCTGTCACAATGTTATCAGTTCAGTGGTGAGGAATTTTGTCTTCTTGACATTGAGATGTAATTCATAATTGAAGACTTGTAGTCTTTATCTTCTCCAGGATGTGCTTCAAGTCCGTACTTTTCAGCAAGCAAGGTTGTATTATCTGCATAACCAATCTTGATGTCACATACTTCTTCATAAAGTCCAGCTTTTTGAATGATTTTCTCAACATACAAATTGAATAGGTATAGAGAAAGGATAGAACCCTGATGCACACCTTTTCTGCTTTTAAATCATACCATGTTCCCTTTCTCTGTTTTACATCAGCTTCTTGGTCTAGGTATAGATTTTGTGTGAACGTAATTAAATGTTCTAAGATTCCCATTCTTCTCTAAGTTAGCCGTAGTTTATTATCAACACAGTTAGATGCCTTTGCATAGTCAATAAAACACAAATAGACATTTTCTGTTATTCTCCTTTTTCATACAGGGTCCATCTGACATTAGCAGTGATATCCCTGGCACCACAGCGTCTACTAAACGCAGCTTGAATATCGGGCATTACTCTATGTCAATGTACTGCTCTAGCTGTTTTTGGATGGTATTCAGCAGTATTTTGCTTGCATGTGATATTAATGATAGTGTTTGATAATTTTCACATCCTTCTGAACCATCTTTCTTGAGAATAGGAACAAATATGAAATATAAAACTAAATAGAATACTGGAACCCTCAAATTTCAAGTTGAAATATGGTTTTTATTGTTATGTTCCATTGAGTTGTAACTGACTCATAGCTGAGCCTCCAGCGAGTTCTCAGAGGCAGAAATCACACGAGAGGAGATTGCCCATCTTTTTCCTGCAGAGTAGCTGGTAGATTTGAACCACAGCCTTTGCGTTGGCAGTGCAGCTCCTTAATACAAAGCTACCAGCTTCCTGGTGTAAAAATGAGAGTTCTTAAAAATAACATTGAAATTTTCATGTTACTTGAGTAAATTTTTGTTTTTTACTCACTTCATTACTTTTGATGAAGGAAGATGCTGAAATCAGAATGTTTAATGTTTACACAAAATTTTCTTTCTAAGATTCTGAAATCAGAATGTTAAATATTCACACTCCTCAGTGTGGTGGTGGTGTTAGTTGCTGTTGAGTCTGACTGATGAGGACCCTAATAGAGCTGATTTCCAGGGTTTTCCAGGCTGTGACCTTTTAGAAGCATATCTGCAGGCCTGTCTTAAACCACCAACCTTTAAGTTAATAGTTGAGTGCTTACTTGGCTTTGAAACTTAGCTGGACCTTGCAAAGAAAGTACAATACTTTTTTACGTACCGCTAATCAACCCTCAAAAGGTTGGGGGTTTTTGGTTGGGTTTTTTTTGTTTGTTTGGGTGTTTTTTTTTTGTTATGTCTTTATCCTTAAATTTCCTTTTAGCAAAACAATAAAATATGTAATCTTACTAAAATGTCAATACTATTCTTTTTCCCAGAGAGTAATGCCTTCAAGCTTTTTCCTGTTGCTGCGGTTTTTCTTGAGAATTGATGGAGTGCTCATCAGAATGAATGATACAAGACTTTACCATGAGGTATCTATTGTAATTCAATAAATATATTGATTTTGAGCCTTTTCCTGTTTTACTGGGCCTGAATATTTGAAAAGGAACACCTGTTTATATCAAATGGCCTTGAAATTGAGTCTTTCAAACTTACTGTCGTTTATGCACTGTGATTGAATATTAGGTCTTCTTTTCCAAAAATTCTGGTATCTGATGCTCCTTTTTTTAAAAAAAGTCATTTAAGTACTAACTCTGTGTGTAACATGTTATGTACCATTGAGTTCGAACTGACTCATAGCTGACCTTCCAGCAGATTTACAAAGAGAGTAAACAGTATTTAAAATACTGTACCTGAAAGGGAGCTCTGGCGGCCTAGTGGCAAGAAGCTGCACTACAATCCCAGAGGTACATGGTTTGAATCCACCAGATATTCTGCTGAAGAAGGAGGGGCAATCTCCTGTACCTCAGATCCGCTTTGACAGTACACACATAAAATAATAAAATAAATTAAAAAAACCCAAAAAACAACCAACCCAACCAACTGTACCTCATACAACTTACTCTGGAAGGCAGTATGGTGTGTCCTCAAAAAGCTGAACATAGGGATTCTAAATGACCCAGCTATTCCACTGCTACGAATATACACCAAGGAAAACAGAACTGAGATGCACGTAGAGATTTGCATCATAGCAGTATTATTCATAATAGTAAGAACATGGAAACTGCCCAAATAATTGGATTGAGAAATTGTGGTACACTCACATGATGAAATACTATATAGCACTTGGGAGCAATGATTTTGAAAACTGCTATATAACATGGAAGAGGCTAGAGAGCATTATGCGGAGTGAACTAAAATTCAGGTACATGAGAACCAATACTGTATAGGACCATGATTGTAAAAGCAGAAGGATAACCAGTGATATGTGTATGGACATACAACGAGGGAAGAGAAAGGCGGTAGAGGGACTGAATGTGGAAAGGGGTGAAAATCTCAGGATCAAATAGTTTAGTGATTGGAGGGAGGGCACAGGGAGAAAAATGTACATGATTGAAGCGTAATAATGCAATACTGTGTCTTAGCTTTTACCTCAGATTTCTATTTATTGTTAATATATGTATATGTCAGTGTTAGAAATAACACTCCCATGGCCTCCTGAAATTTAAGTACATAGTTTTTTTGATCTGAAGTTTAAAGTTCTGCATACAATGGAAGATTGTAATCCTTCTGATGTGACTGTTAACTTACAGTGTGAGGTTTTTTAAAAATAAGTGCTGAGAAAAATAAGTGGTTAAATTTTTCTAGTAGTTTTGTAACAGCTTAACTTTTCCAAGTGAATTTCTCACTTGAGCTCCCTTATCATTTAGAAGGATGAATGGGAAAAGAGGCCACCAATATTACTGTTCTCACAGTAATGAACTAATTACAACTCTGTGAAAGTAAAATCTTTTTATCCCTACTTTTAAATGAAGCCTCTGAGGCAACTGTATAACTTACCCAAGCTCTACAGCTGGTTGGTGGCAGAAAAAGGATTTGAACTCATTAATAGGGGATTGGATTGGTATTTTCCTAAAACCTGAAATTTTGATCGTTTCTTTTCCATGAAATAGTGTGGTGCCTATGATGATCTATTTATTTTTTAAAAATGGTACCAAAATACTAAGAACATGTTTTCTTTTTTTCAGAAAGAATGAAATCCAAATTTTAAAATAGTTTACATTTTTTACTAAGCACTATCATGCTTTAGAAATGTAACCTTAAAAAAAAAGTGAAACTTTGCAACTCTGTGATTTCCCTGCACCCCCCACCCTCAGCCTTACCCTCACGCCCTTGCTCTTTCTTCCTCTTTTGGACTTTTATAAACATCTTAGTAGTTTCCTTCTGTTTTTGCAAATATTTGTCCTTATGAGACTGAGTTAGTTCACTCAGCATAATGGTCTCTAGCCTTTACCATGTTATATAATATTTTCAAAATTGTTGCTCCTGAATGCTGATTAGTATTCTATCATATGAATGTACCATAATTTCTAAATCTCTTAGTTTGTTGATGGACATTTGAGCTGTTTCCATTTTCTTGCTATTGCGCATAACCCTGCTGTGAACATTGGTGTCCAAACCTCCATTTGTGCCTATAAAAAGAGCAAGGGCTTCATGGGGATGGCTATATTTGAGCTTTACCAACTTCACAAAGGGGAGCTGTCCCTGTCAAGAGCATGAGGAACAAGAAACCAACCCCCATAAGATCAGACATGTCCCCCACGCTCCCATATCTCTTTGTACTCATCTTAGCACTGATCTTTTTATTTTAAAAATTTTTTTAAATTTTGTTTATTTTTTTATTTTATGTGTGTGTGTGTGTACTGTCAGATCAGATCTGACTGGTACAGAAGGAGATTGTCCCTCCTTCTCCAGCAGAGAGCATCTGGTGGATTTGAACTGCACACCTCTGGGTCAGCACCAATCTTTACTGCTTTTCTGGGTCTGAAATCTAATGTGAAAACTCACAGATGACACAGAACCATGTTAGAGAAATAAAAAGGTTATAATGCAGATGAGTAGCAGAATACAGTCTGGACAGCACCCTAAATGTGCTCTCAGGCACCTCAGCCTTCAGCTTCACAGCTTAGGCCAGTGTTACAAATTTCTCAGTCCTGCTCATATTGGCTCACCACCCCCAGATGACCAACAAATTTGAGCAAAGGCTTTTAAAGCTCCAGTTCCAATGATGATGTAGCAATCCCAGGCCCTGTCTCATGTTCTCTGCTGTGGCTGCTGTGGTAATTGGCCCTGTAGGCCTATTTTGCTTTCTCTTTTCTTGGTGGTAAGGTTTTTCTTCTTTGCTGAAAGGTCTCCTTTTGTTTGGTTGCTCAATTTAATGGCAAGATTAGCCCCGTCCCCTGTGGATTGGTGAGACTAGCTAATCCTCTTGGTTGGTAAATAAATAGCCAGTATCCATTTAGATAGGCTAACACACCGTTTGCATATTCACACCCACCTATATGGTAGTTAAAAAATGGCTGAGAAAGTCATAGTGAAAGATAAATCCCGCATTGTCTCAGCTCTATTTTCTTCAGGATATATTCCTAGGAGTGGAGTAGCTGAAAGGATTGGGTGGAAGAGGGCACAGATCAATGGTGATTGGTTTTATAAAGCTATGGGAATGATCATATGAAATACAATGTAAATGAAGCAATGTGTGAAACACAATGTATATGAATGAAACAATATTTTGAATACAAACCAATATAAATTTTTTTAAAGAAAACAAAAACTAAGGAAGAAAAAATTTCATTCCATAATCTATAAATATTAATCAGATAGTTGCTTAGAGTTAAGGAATGTGGACTTGAATTTGCATTGTTTATAATATTAATAGTAATGAGGATTGGAGAATGGGAATTTAAAGAGATATTAATATTTCCAGTGGAGCATTATAAGTGCTTCTATAGTTATGTGTAGAAGAATATTTAGCCATTATAAACATTAGGAAGAGCTATATTTAGTTGATTTGGAAATGTGTGTTTTAGTGTTAAAACTTTTGTGGCAGATAAGAACATATTTATATAACTTGTGTAGAGATTATTATATGTTAATCATAGTGTTCTCTCTAATGAGCTTTGATTGCTTCTAATTTATAGTCTCTGATTTATACTTTTATTTTCTCTCTTAGAGTGTGCATTAATCTGGTTTTTATATAAAATACTGAAATTTTAAAGAAGTTAGTATTTTATCTTTTATTTAAAATGTTTCACAAAACCTCAGCATTTTGATAAAATCGTAAATGGGAAAATTTGAATATCAAAGTAATTCCTGATGTTAAGTAAATAATTTGGTAATAATTTTATGGAAATGATGAGCATAAATAATTTTTGGAAGACAAAAGTAGTCACAATTATGTGCAGAGATGATAATAATGTTTAGGAAAGGGATGTCCCAAACTTGAATAGCAAAATCTCTTGTGCAACTTAATTATATTTATCAAGAGAATGCTGCTGGTTGACTGTCAAAATAAGCTTTTGCATATCTTTTTCTTACATGAGAGTTATGAAATTAGGTTACTTCACATATATGTTTCTGGTATTAATGTAATGTGATGTAATATATAGAGATTCAAATAAATAATTTGGAATTTTTGGTGAAAGTTGACCATTGTAAAACAAGATACTCTCCTCAGACTTCATGTTACTTTCACAGACTAATGTAGATAGTTCTGTTTAACAGAATAGATTTGACAAATCAATATAAATAAATTTATTGTGACTTTTTTTAACACAGGCTGACAAGACATACATGTTACGGGAATATACATCACGAGAAAGCAAAATTGCAAATTTGATGGTACAGTATTTATGTTTCATTTTTTTTTCTTTTTTATGTTTCATTTATAGATGTTAGGTTATAAATTTTTAAGTATAGAATTCCTTCTCTCCCATCATATATATATCTAAAACTGTTCATGCCACTGATAGAGCTCTTTAGCATAAATCTGACTAAAGCATAACTTTTCCTGCACTTATCTCAAATGTAAGAACATGGAAGGTTATTAGATACCCTACCTTTCCAATTTCCACATTTTACTTGAAAAAACTAAGACTCTTAGATATAACTTACCCCCAGTCACATAGTTGTTGATGATGGAGCCACTGTGGACATCAGATACCGATTCTGTTACCACCATCCTGTCACTCAATCTCCTTTGCCCTCTCCCCGATCCTAAAATGTACTGAGTCTATATTATGAGTTGTTCATTTGGATATTAATCTCCTGTTCTCCAGCCCCCATAAATATGCTGATTCTATAATATGACTTGTTTTGCCATAATTCTTTCTTTTTCTCTCTTCTCAAGAACATGTAAAGGCTCCCTTGGAATTTAAGATTCTGTAATGAGTTGCCTAGAAGTTAAATATCTTTTTGAAATTTGGAATTACTTTTTCTAAGTATATCTCTCTTAAGAAAATCCAAATATCTCTCCAGATGTAGCGTATACATTCAGGAAAATTATATACTTGGGTCTAACAGAAAACCAGTGCTTATAAGGTATCAAAGCAGCAAATAGAGGGAATTAGATTAAGATGTATTACATTCTGGGGGCAGTGGAAATTGTATAACTTTATTCTCTTAGAGAAAGCAGAATGACTCAATAATAGGAAAAACTACTGTTACTGTTTTTAAAACTTTAATAGTGCTTGCTTATATCAATATTTTACTCCTTATTTTAAAATTTTGATTTAAAATTTAAATTAAAAATGCTTGAACCAAAGCATTTAAAAAAATGTCAATAGGTTTACAGATTAAAAAACAGGAATTTTATTTTTGTATTTCTTTAGCATGTGTCACCTTCTCTTTTCACGGAACCTAATGAAATATCCCAGTATTTACCCATCAAGGAGGCTGTTTGTGAGAAGCTGGTGTTTCCAGAAAAAATTGACCTTAACCCTGCAGACTGCCAAGAAAACAAACCTGTAGAATAAAGTAAGATGCAATATACACTCACCATAGAATCTGGCTGAAGATGTTGGTTATTTCTGGGGGGAGGGGATATTTTTATTATGAAAATTAATTGCCTTGTTGATGTATAGATATTCTGTAGCCTTAAAGTGGGAAGAAGAAAAAAAAGATTGTTGCAGGCAGGTTCCACTTACCTAATGTTTATAATATCTTCAAATTCGTATTTCAAAATGATCTCTTCTGGAGTTAGATTCAGATTCCTGAATAGTCATGTTGTGGAACCTTAGTAGCAGTGATGTGTTTATGTCCCAGTGAGTCTCACTGGGCATAATCGGCTTCCATCGTGGAACATTGTCTTCTGTCAGGAGGAGATTAATTTAAACCACTGAATCACAACGTGTCGTGACTTTCATAGGATTCCTGGTTGTGCATGTTGATGTCCTTTGAGCTTTTTGATGCTTACTTGCACTTCTAGAGAATTGTAACTTGCCATGTAGGATATTATTCTTACATGTTAATAATCTTCATGAACAATTTTTTATATATGATTTCCCTAAATTTAAATTGGCTTTTGACACTGAGAGAACATTTTAGATATAGAAAAACAATGAAAAAAACCTAGGTATTTTGGGGAATTTTAAGCTATCAAAACTATGGAAACATAAAAATGGTTTCCTACGGACAGGTAGAGTATCTTTTCTCCATCTTTAGGTGCTTTTTTTCTTATATTTGGTTCTACTTGTACTGACATTTTTGTACTTTCACTTTCCATGAAACCTCAGAGTAAATAGATGTCTCGAATTCGGTGCTGGTCTTACAAATTTTAAAGAGTTTATCAGGGATTGTTTTTAGCAAATATTAAATGAGCCCTAAAGCAATTAGATTCATTTTTTCCCCTGAAAAATATTAGAAGGGTAGGTGTGGAGAAAAAGACTTGTTTTAAAACATAAGAGCCAATTTTTCTATTTAAGGTTCATGTTTCTAATATTAGATGGACTCCAGTAAAATGTGATCACTTAGTACAAGGCCCAGGTACTAAAAAAAATGCAAAAAAAGTAAATTTAAAATCAATTTGACTGTTTAGATGATGACCCTTTAAACATTTTTTATCCTTTTCTGCCTTTCTAAAAGGCCTTCCTAAAGTAGAAAGTAATTCTAAAACACCAAGTAAAGAGTTACTTGAAGTGGACTCTTAAAAATACCTTTTTAAAGGGCAGGAGAAAAAGTCATCCCTTTTGTTCTTGTTTGAAATTGCTGTTAATGACTTATCTACTTGATGGATAAATCATTAAATAAGACTGTTTAATTTAAAGTATTAGCCAAACTCTTTGGGTATTAGCCTGGAGATAAGTTTTCATGAAACAAATTAACATTTGATAACCATCAATTTTGTTGCATATGTATTGTGAACCAAACAGGAAAGATGTCTTTTATTAGCAAAATTTGATCATAGATGGAGTTGGTGTTATCTGCCTTCTCCTGTGTCAACTATAAGATGTAGAAAATCCAGATCTTTTTTATTCTAAGAAGCTACATGGCACATTCACTGTATATTACATATACCTATATTTAATGTTTGGTACAACCTGTGTGTATATATTGTACTCAACTTTGTTTTATTTGCCATGCAGATTTGAAAGAAGCAGACTATTTGTGCAAATTTAAAGAGGAAACAAAATAAGAATATTCATTAGTTGGATTTCTAAACCATACCATATTTTGGTTTTAAATCCATATAACTTATATGTATATACACACATACACATACTTCTTTTTAACTTGTTGATTCTAATATCTTAGCCTCTGAATCAGTCCTTGATTGCTTTTTTTGGAGACTCCGTTGTTAAAAAATTGATATTAGAAGAATTTAACCATCCCCACCCTCTACCCCCATACCCACCCTCTACCCCATCCCCATATGGGGTATGACTGAAAATGTCATTAGCTTATTACTGTAGAAAACACCAAGAACCCTGTATTTGCCCATTGCTAAAAAAGACCTATGCCATTTTATATTTATTTGTTCCAAGTATCTTTTTGTAAAAGGAAAATAAAGAATTATTGATCTGTGTTTTGGTGGTTAATTTATTTCTTTTTTTAAGACATAATTAAAGAAGAATGGTTTGGTGTAATTTTTTGTTTGTGCTACATTTTATTCATTTGGCCCAGCTTTGTAGTCATATTGTTATTGCTGAATAGAAATCAAAGTTGAACACAAGTCATTCAAAATATGTTATTCCCTAGTTTAGCTTTTGGACTTTGGTCACCTATTTTCGCCTCTCCCTGCTGGTACTTTAATTGGTGCTTTAGTTACTCAATGTTTTCTGGTTTTGAAAATGTATTTGTTTTATTTATCATTCCATTTTTGAGAAGTTTGGCACATAGAAGTATGTGTCTAACACTATTCTAAGTATATTTTGTTACTAAAATAGTAAAAGTGTCTTCATGCAGTTAAAGTCTGATAAGCTAGTAATAGATAAAATATTTGCAGTCTCCACAGATGTCTGATGCATTACAT